CATGTTCGCGGCACAGTGATTTGGGACAATAACTGACCGGTTGGATTGATCAATCTAGACCAAAATGATATTCAATGATATACAATATAGATATATTGATCAATTTTGTTATTTGGACGTAGTTTGTTTGTACACGGAAGTGGTTTGCTGTATTCTGCCTATGGTACTTTGTCATGTTAAGCTTGTCAAGCATACTATTCACTTGACCACCTTTTATGGTTTTGTCTATACACGATATAGCACCGCCTATCTTTGTCGCCCATCGTGCTCAGCTTAACACTATAGTTCAGAGGGTCATGACTCGATCGGAAACAACTTGATTTACGAGGAAAGTGGAGGAATCGATTTCGTTTTACGCTAGGTAGTGTCATCTACAGAGCACACTTTTATCAAATCTTCAAGATGCATAAACCACTTATTATTTTCAATGAGCACATATTACTTAAAAGTCCAATGATGCCTCAAATACCAATTCAGTGCAGTTAATTCAGTCATGAATGGCTATAATTCCTGGTTTCGATGGTTATTTCTGCATCGGTTTTGGTCAAGAAGTGAACAATTATACTTTGGCTTGTAATACAGTGCAACAATTCGTGGTCCGATTTAAAACAGCCGTATACAGTACTCCCGACACCTTCTCAGCTGCAATCTGCTCTATCCACTAAGGTTGCTTCACACATATTCAGTGAAACTGCTGAATGGACTCATTTCAACGACAGGACATTACCTAGCAGATCACACTGCCTTGGCAACGAATAATTGTCATCTGAAAGCAATGAATCACGAACCATAATTGTCTAGGTGAAAAAATCTTTACGCTTTGCACGAAAAATGTCATTGTGTGACAAGGCCTATCGCTATCCGGTCAGCCGATTTCATACTGCGGGGAATCTCGGAAGCGCAGCTTCTTTCTTTACTTGATATCTACCCCATACCACTGAATGCAGCTTCACACTATTGCAATTCATACACACAAACAAATTCCCCCACCCTACAATCAATCTGACACGATGGAAATCAGAGCGATCAGTTTACCCACGGCAAACGTTGGATCTTCTGATGTTATTTCAAGAATGAGGAATTCCTGTGACTGGGTGGTTGTGAAGAAATTCGTGAAGATACGGAAGGAGTATATCACGAACTGTATACCCTTCCGAACTTTTGAGCCTTCCAATCTTCATGGAGGATTTATAAAGTGTTTGTCAGGTAATAGGAATCTGACAAACCAGTGAATCAAATGCACAGGGTAAATACGAAAATATATTTAGCACTTGGGCGACATATACTGAGACCACAATAAATTATCGATGCTTTTCTATTAAGGAATAGCCGGGCGAGAAAACAGCATGAATGGATACCAGAGGCAAGAATAATCCAAGTAGGTCCTCGTGACTGCACGGTTCACCGCTAGCGAAGCTCCTTTTGGTTGAACATGTAAATCGAACTCAGGTAGCGGTTTGTTCGAGAGGGAACATTTCCCTAAGAGCGATGTGCGGGAAAATACAATTATCACAGCATCCGTTGAACCGTGCACTAGCAGAGTGTAAGACGCGAGTCCCTCTCTCTCTCTCTCTAACCAAGCCAGTCTCTATTTCTCTCTCTTTATCGATCAAGCATATCTACCAGCTTGCAGGATAGTTTATATCCCTGGATTGCCAATTTGGCTAAAACCAGACAGAGCAGTTTGAGAATAGAAGCCAATGTAACAACATCACACGGTTTACGTCCTGGAAAATTTCATCACATGTCACCTGGTGCCTTTTGCAGATAATGTTAGAATAGTTTGTTTGATGGCAAATCAAAAGACTCACCTTGTTTGCGGTCCAAGTGAAGTATCGTATGCCTACTGTTGACCTTCGTGTCCCTACTATTCCTTGACCTATCGTGGCTAACTGTCAATAACTGATAGAAGACTAACTGATCCTTGTGCTCTTAGCTTGCCTGACAATATCATGAATAGGGAAGCATTTCTTTGTTTTATGTACCTTCTACTTTTTCCGGTGCCACCACTACCCGGAATGATTGATCGGATCAGAGTTTCCGCGGATTAGGATATGAAAACAAACAATTTTTACACTTACCAGATAATCCACCAACGTCCATTTTCTTCAGGTTTTTCGCCTCCAAAATGTTCACATTCAACCGACCAGAAGTTGGAACGTAACGCAAAGAGAAACAGATGTCACCGAGGCGATTTTCCTTGAAGAGATAGATGAGAGAGACTCGGTTGAAAGACTGATGCAGACACGAAAAGAACAACAGTCGTTGCGCTATTGACTTAATGTAGTTACGTGTATATAAAGTAATCAAAAGCAAATTATAACCCCCAGAAATTCCAGACTTCGGAAAATTAGCTTATAAGAAAGGACAACATTAGAAGAACGCAAGAGTAGTAGATGGAGAGACACTTGGCGTCAAAATCGCATGTCTAGCA